ACCTGTAATTTGTAAAATAAACAATGGGAGAGGGGGGTACACTATGAATCTCAGATTCAGATTTATTGAATATTGACTGGCCTGTCACATTGAAGTGCATGAAATATCTCGCGTAGTTACATCATACTGCCCAATATTACAACTAGAAAAGTAACATTTGCAAAGCAAAATGTTTACCTTTGCATAATGTTTACCTTCGCACATGGTCTGCTCTGTTTCATATATATGGTCAGACAGGGGTCTAAATGCCCCCTACTATAAAATTGCAACATGATGTACCCCAACACCAGTTACCATGGTGACAGACGTCTACAAATCAAGTGATTGGTCAGGTCAGAGGTCAGTGTTTGGAACAAAAGAAGAAGAGGAAACGTAGCAAAAACAATATGTTTTCCTTCGGCAAACATAAATAGTAAGCAGTTCTGCCTGCACGTACATGTTGTAGTGATAGTAGTGCCCCACAGAACCCTTCTCCACCGGTTCTATCCCTCTCACGGACACCAGAGTGCCCGGCAACTCCCCTTCAGCCGGTGCGCACTCTATAGAGTACATCCTGCCGCTGTTGTCATGGAGCGTTGCTAGGTTACTGCAGAACCCCATGGCCACGCCCACCGGCGTGTTCTGCAGGATGCCGGCAGCCTGTTCTACAGAGGAGGCCGTCAGAAGGGCGCGGTTCAGGAAATGACGAACTGTACGTGGAATAAAAGGGGGAAATAATTAGTAGGAATAACAGGAGACTTACCATACTTTAATTAAAGTCGAGAAATAGCCTGCTGTGATAATGATGGTGTTGATCAACACTATGTCATCTATCTTTTCAGTTCAAAGATAATTCATGATGAGTTTGTGTGTGTGTGTGTGTGTGTGTGTGTGTGTGTGTGTGTGTGTGTGTGTGTGTGTGTGTGTGTGTGTGTGTGTGTGTGCATGAGTGCGTATTTGCACTTAGGAACGTCTGTGTAATTAATAATGTACAATTTCTTTAGCTTACCTGTTGTTGCTGTTCTGACTTCATCCTTCACGGTTCCGTGCCGATAGACAGGGTAGTCTGGGTCTTTTGTGTCACCTGAAGGTGAATATATTAGACTCAATATTGTGCTATTAAGACACGATATTAAACCGTTATGTAATCACACTACGACATTATAGACTGGTGAAAGGGCACATACCTGGGTCAGACCAAATTCCCATGCAACAGCACTTAGTTTTAGGGTATACAAAATATACCTGAGCCAGAATTCTATGGGGTTTTGTGCGCCCATTTTTTTACCTTTATCTAACCTTGAATCGCACATTGTACAATACACACTTTTCGGTAAGCAATTTTTCAAGAGCTC